TACATTTCTCATAATCGTTCTTATGTCTATTATTTGGCCAATAAAAATAATAGATCATTATCCCCTTCTCATCTTCAGCGACACGTTAACGAAAAAACCTGTGGAGCGTTTAGTAGGGATATGAGAATGGTGGTTCGAATGGACGTTAGACCCCTTACGTCGTTAGACCCCCTACATGATCTGCGTCAACCCCATCCTGACTCGTTCAGTTCGTCTCTGAGCGCATATGTATGTACACATGTTCCGTCGGTACTATTTAGTTTCAGTACGCTTACATAAGCTACGGTAGATCAAAGGCATTGGTAAATGATTTGGTTATGAATCTTTTCGTGTTTGCTTTGATCGATTTACTAAACTTAATTAATTTATTCAAGCCGGGTACCCTGTATTAAGGCAAAATCGATGGAGTATGGAGGCCCGCCATATATTCATCGAAATTCTTCAGAAGGCGAATGTACTGAATGAGTTAACGTGTTGTGATTAAATCGGCGGAATAATTGCCAAGCACTCGGTTTTTAGCATCGATCAGTTCATATGAATTCGAGCCAAGTTTCCGTGAAACATAGGCTCTAATTTTTGGTGGGGCTAGTTTTTGCGCATAGCCCTCTCCGGCCACGGACTGTTTAGGATTGGGAATGTACACTTCCGAGCCTATCTCGAAATGGCGTTCTCTTTTGCGGGTCAATGCCCGTTGTGCGGTTTGTTGATATTGTTCGAACTGTATGTCTCGAATTTCATCAGCCGGAACTTTGCGCTGTTCCACATCCTGTGTATGGTATGGATTTACCTCCAATAATAATTTATATTCGTTTCCATCTTTCACATATTCACGACCAGTGTGCGGGAAATATGACATGTAGCCCATGGCTGAATGCACTGAAGTGTTAATATCATGAATAACCGTGAAAGATGGTTTTCCCAGGAGGAATGTTCAAGAAGGTCAGCCATGTGAGCACGTAATCCAAGTTTAATGCTTTTGTGTGTCGCCTCGACCTGATTGGCTTGTGCATGGTACAAAGGGTTTTCATGTGTTTGATGTTATAATCGGCGCAAAGCTTTGCGAAAGTTTGACTGATGAATTGAGTACCGTAAATATATGTCGAAGATAATTGACTACGGACATGGCGTTTGCATTTTTCATTGGCTGCGCCCAGACATATCGCGAGTAACAGTCGATGGCTACGAAGATCCATTGGTTACGATTTTTAGACATGGGCAGCTTACCGACGAAGTCAATCGATAATTGCCTACCTGGTCGTTTTGGTTCTCTATATTCGCCGTGAGGTGTTTTGGTGCTCTCATTACTTGGTTTAATGCGGTGGCATAGTTCACATTGCCGAACGTACTGGTAAACGGACTCATACATGTTTGGCCAGTAATAGCATTGTGTGATACGTATATAAGTTTTCCAAACACCCTGATGCGAATGTTGGTTATGATTTTCATCGAGGACTTTTGCTCTGTCAGAAGATGGTACACAAAGTGTCCACAGTATTTCCGCACTTTGATTGGAAAATTTCAATCGATGATATAGAAGGTTGTTCTCGATTTTATATCTATCTAATGGTTGTTTTGAGGCCATGGCATGCATTTTGTTGTACCATTTATCGCACGTGTTTGGGTCAATGCTGATCACGGATTTGATTGGGATACGATTAACGTGAAAATTACTCGGAAGGTCAATTGGATTTCTACGAACGATGTTGAGAAGAGCATAAGAACGAGATAAGGCGTCAGGAAGTTCAAAATGTTTTCCTGGTTTATGAATAATTTTGAGATCGTATGGTGCTAATCGGATCGCCCAACGACATAAACGGCCAGTGGGTCTTTGAGAGTTTGTAGCCAGCGCAAAGCTGCATGGTCCGTTACCACAACCAATTCACGACCCTCAAAATATGGACGAAACTTTTCGACCGCTAAGAGAATGGCCAGGCATTCCCGTTCAG